CACAGCCTGCGGGCGAAGGGGGCCTTCGCACCCCTCGCGAGGCCCCCCCGCCAGCAAGGGCAGGCGCTGGAACGCAACTCTCGGGGAAAGCGCACCCGCGCACCTCTCGCAAGGCCAGAGCGTGAGCTTCGAGTGGCGGGAACCCGTGCGTCCAAAGCAATGGCCGCTCCATTGCTTGGCCGGGCACCCAACCGCGCCCCCCGAGAGCTGGGGCCGCGGCGGGGGCAGGGGAATCCCCGGCCCCCCCGCCGCTCGGTGGCTCAGCGGCCACGTAGAGGCCGCCCAGCGGCGGGCAGGATGCGGGAAGGCGGGCCCCGGGCGTCGTCCTGGACAAGCTCCCTACGTAAGGCCCCACCCCCCGGCTTCGGCCAGCCGGGGGCGGGGCAGGCGCCCGCGGAGGCCTGGGGCACTGCCGGGGGGGCTCTGGCGCCGGGGGACCGGGGGCGAGGTGGGGCTGGCGCCGCGACCCCCCCGGCGAGAGCTTGGAGATCGCCGCCGGGGAACAGAAAGGGCAGTCCGCGCCCCAGCCGCCCGCCGAGGGGTGAGGAGACACCCGGGTCGCGCATGCGGAGCAGCGCAAGGAGGAGCAGGAAGGGTCGAAGAATTGGGGGGAGCTCCCAGGCCAGCGAGGGAAAGCCTGGGCGGCGTTCGCAGCAGGGCCCTCTACCTCAGGGGGGCCCTGGTCATAGCAAGGATGCCAGGGTCCCGGGGGCGGGCAGGCAGATGGGCTCGGGCGCGCCAGGAGGAGAGGGGGCCCAGCCCGCCCAGCGGAGGGGGCCGGTGTCTCAGGAGCGCCAGCTGCTAACGCCCTCGGGGGGAAAAGCTTGGCGCCCCTCCCCGCGGGGGGCAGAGCAGGGGGCGAGGCGGGGCCCGAGGCCGGCCCAGACGGGCTAGTGGCTAGTGGGCGAGCATGATGAAGGCTGCGCGCCGGTGGCAATCCAATGGATCAAGGGGTCAGTGCCGCGCGTCTGCGGGGTCCTGGCACTGAAGTGCGACGAGGCCGCGGCGGACCCCCCTCCCCGCGGCGTGGGGGGGGGCGCCGGGGAGGCAGCGCGCAGAGGCTTTCGGGATGCCGCGGGCATGTTGTGCTCTGCGGCGGGAAGGGGTGCCAGCGCGCACCTCGTGAAGGGGAGGCCCTTCCCCAGGTCAAGGCGTGGGCGGCCCGGTTCGCGCGCGCGCGGCCTGCATGAGCCATTGGAAGTGCCGCGTGAGCAGCGGCTTCCTCGAGGTGCTGCCGTCTGCCGCAGCTTGCGGATGGGAGGAGGAGGAGGAGGAGGAGGAGGAGGAGGAGGAGGAGGAGGAGGAGGGAGGAGGAGGAGGAGGAGGAGGAGGAGGAGGAGGAGGGAGGAGGAGCAGGAGGAGGAGGAGGAGCAGGAGGAGGAGGAGGAGGAGGAGGAGGGAGAGGGAGGAGGAGGAGGAGGAGGAGGAGGGGAGGAGGAGGAGGAGGGCAGGAGGAGGAGCAGGAGGAGGAGGAGGAGGAGGAGGAGGAGGAGGAGGAGGAGGAGGAGGAGGAGGAGGAGGAGGAGGAGGAGGAGGAGGAGGAGGAGGGAGGGAGGGAGGGAGGGAGGGAGGGGGAGGGGAGGGAGGGAGGGAGGGAGGGAGGGAGGAGGGAGGGAGGGAGGGAGGGAGGAGGAGGAGGAGGAGGGAGGAGGAGGAGGAGGAGGAGGAGGAGGAGGAGGAGGAGGAGGAGGAGGAGGAGGAGGGGGGGGGGGCTTGCGTTCGGGCGGTGAGCCGGGTCGGAGAGCGCGGGGTTCCGCGCGCCTGCGGACCCAGGCAACGACTCGGACGGCGCGAACCCGGGCAGGTGCCCTCGCTGCGTTCGGAGGGCAGGGAGCAGCCTCGCGCCAGAGCTGAGCGGCGAGGGGAATGAGTGGCGCCCCTGCGGCTCAGCATTCATGCGCAGCTGGGTGCCGAAGGAGCTGGTCGCCCACTGGGAGGTGTCCGAGGGCGCCATCCGCGTGGACGGCGACTTCGACCCCGCCGAGGAGGGCCTGCGGGAATATGCAGAGCGGATATCGGGGAATGTCGGTGGAAGGCACCCCGCCGCAGGTTGCATGACTGGTTGCGAACGCAGGCGCTCGTGGGTGACTCCGGGCAGGAGGGGCGGCAGCCGATCGGGTGGCCCACTTCGCGGGCCCGGGGGGGGGGGCTGCGCGAGGTGAGGGCTATTTGCTACCGCCCCCAGACGATGCTCGCTGTGGATCGGGATAAACGGATTTGTTTCAGGGTACGGGTGGCACTGGGGCGCCAGGGGAACCCCTGGGCGAGTTTAAGTTGAGCCTGGATCGAACCCAGTTTTTTGCGGTTGCGCCCGCCGGAGGGGCGGTGCGCGCCCCGAGCAAAGTTTTGCGCGCGCAGCATAGCGCCTGCGCGCAGCCTTGACCGTCGGTGCGCCCCGCGAATGTCTTCGTGAGTTTGGGCCCTCGTGAAGGGCTAGTTTTGCCTAGGAATGGACGGGTGGAGGGCCCCCTGCGGGCCGTGTGGGCGGGGGTCCAAGACGGGCTCTTTTTATTGCCCACCGCGAGATGGGGCGGGCCTCGTCCTTCTTCCAAGTCGTGAGTGGGCCGTCGGGCAAGATTTGCCCTTGTTACTGGGCCCCCCTTCAACAGTTTAACCATGCCCCCTGCATCTCTCTCTCCTTCCTTCCTTCTCCCTGGCAGCCGTCTGGTTTGAGCGGCTGCTGCTTCCCTTTTTTTCCCGCCCGCCCACCCCGCGGGTTTCCCCCCGCCGAGGGGCGGGGGTCCAAGACGAACTCTTCCCGTTGCCCGCCACGAAATGGGGCGGGCTTCCTCCTTCCTCCAAGTAGTGATCGGGCCGTCGGGCAGTACGTGCACACACGCACACATATATATATATATATCCGTTTATATGGACGCATATACATATGCATGCATGCGCTCTTGTATACATGTACGCATGTATGCTTGTATACATGTGTACATGCATGCATGCATGCACGCATGTCTGTATATGTATAGTATGTATGTATTGATGCATGCCTGTAGGTCGGTGGGCCGTTATGTATGTATGTAGGTTGGTATGCCTGTGTTTCTGTATGTCTGTCTATTTGTAGGCATGTTTGCATGCTTGTATGTGTATGTGTATGCGTGTATGTATGGGTGTATGTATGCATGTGTGTATGTATGTATGTTTATGTATGGTTCTGCCTCTTTTACTTGTTTTTGCACACGTGTATGTATGTATGTCTGTCTGTCTGTATGTCTGTATGTATGTATGTATGTCTGTATGTATGCATGTCTGTATGTATGTATGTATGTATGTATGTATGTATGTACATATGTATGTATGTATGTATGTGTGTATGTATGTATGTATGCTTGTACATGTGTATTCATGCACGCATGTATGTACGAACATGTGCTTTTGTGCATGCGTGTATGTATGCATGTATGTAAGTACACTTGTATGTATGCCAGTCTGTATGCGTGCGTACATGTATGTATGCACACATGCGCGGATGCATGTATGTACGTATGTATGTATGTATGTGTGTATGTGTGTATGTGCGTATGCGTGTATGTGTGTATGTGTGTACCCATGTATGTATGTATGCATGCATGCATGCATGCATGCATGTATGTATGTATATATGTATGTATGTAAGTATGTATGTATGTATGTATGTATGTATGTAGGTATATATGTAGGTATATATGTATGTATGTATGTATGTATGTATGTATGTATGTATGTATGTATGTATGTATGTATGCATGTATGTATATATGTATGCATGTATGTATGTATGTATATATGTATGTATGTATGTATGTATGTATGTATGCATGCATGCATGCATGCATGCATGTATGTATGTATGTATGTATGTATGCATGTATGTATGTATGTATGTATGTATGTATGTATATATGCATTTATGTCTAATTGAATGTCCGCATTCACAAACGTCGGAAACATACATAGCCACATTCATTTGGAGGGGGGGCGGGAAAATGGAAAAGGACGAGGAGTCGGGCGTGCATTCAGCCGGAGACCTCGACGCGAGGTCCTCATCGGTCGCTAGGGCCTGCTGTGGGGCCTTTGTCTCCGTGTTATGGCGTCCCAGACGTAAAGCAGGGTGGATCGGTGCAAAGAAGGATGGAGGGATGAGGCGAAGGATGGAGAAGGGGTCACCATGCATGAAATGGCAGTTTGCGACTTCAGCTGACCTCGTCCTCCGGGTTCTCGTGCTCTTCCGTCTCATGCCACCTCGTCTGCATTCTCCCTCCTGCTTTTCCTTCTCCCTCCGTCCCCCTCCTGCTCTTGACCAGATTCGCAGTGGTGGTTTGGTGGAGATGCGGCCCCGAGGTGCGGCTGATGACCGGCGCCGTGTTGGGGAACTTCCTTGGCGGTGCCGAGGTGAGTCTTTTTCTCTGGGGGAGGTGGGATGGCTCCCCCCCCGTTGCCTGATCCCTGCTCCTTCGTCTGTCGTCCCGCTTCGCTCCTACCTTTTCCATCCTCCCTCTTACTCGTTACTCGTCCATCCTCCCTCCCCTCTCTTCTCCTCTTTCCTCATCTCTCCTGTTTTTGCCTCCTCCTTCTTCTCCTCCTCCTCGTCCTCCTCCTCCACTTCCTTCCCCCTTCCTTTTCTTCTCATCCTCCTCCTTTGTCTCTTTCTCCTCCTCCTCGTCGTCGTCGTCGTCGTCGTCCTCCTCCTCCTCCTCCTCCTCCTCCTCTTCGTTCGCAGTTCTCCATCCTCCGCCCACCTTCTCCAACCTCCTCCACCTCGTCGTCCTCCTCCTCCTCCTCCTCCTCCTCCCTCCTCCTCCTCCTCCTCCTCCTCCTCCTCCTCCTCCCCCTCGTCCTCCCCCTCCCGCTCCTCGCTCCTCGTTCCTCTCCCTCTCTCCTCCGAGGCGGTCCTCGTCCTCGCCCCTCCTCGCCCTCGCCCCCCCCCTTCCCTGCCCTCGAGGCGAGGTGGGCGATCGCCTGGCCGTCGTCCTCGGCCTCGCTGCTCCTCGTCGCTCCTCCTCCGCCGCGAGGTGGGCGACCGCCCCTACCGCGAGAAGGCGGCACGGGCCGTGCTGCCGGCCGCGCGGCGCTTCGGGACGCTGGCGCTGGCCGCGCTGGACGCCTTCGTCTGCGCGGCGCTGGCGGCGCAGCTCGCCGGCGCCGCGGTGGTGTGCCGGGCGGCCGGGCCGGCGGTGGCCGCCGCGCTGCAGCTGCCGGCGCTGGCGGCGTGCGTTCGGGCCCTCGCCGAGTGGTGGCGGAAGTTCGGGGACTTCCCCTCCAGCTTCAGGCGCGGGCTCCTCGGTTGTCGTGGTGGTGTTGGTGATTGAGATGGTGTTGTTCGGTAGCTAGTCGTGGCAGCCTTGTCTTCCTTCGTACTTCTGTCTTCAGGGTGCCTTGTAGCGTGGATGGCGCCGATATCGCGTCGATCATCGTCGATGGGCGGCGATTTTGCGTCGATTCAACGTCGACTAGCGTCGATTCGCGTCGATTCGCAAGAGCAAGCACGACAATATGGAAGGCTCTTATGAGTTGGCTCAGAATTGTTGGTGGTGATGGTGACGACGGTGGTGACGATGGTGGTGGTGGTGGTGGTGATTGTGGCTGTCGTGGTTATCGTTGTCATCTTTACCGTCCGGCTGCCTGCGGCGAGTCTCGCCACCGTGCCAGCGCAGCACTCGAGCACCGTCCAGATGGCCGCAACATGCGACGCAGAGGGCTCTCATGAGGACCACCCGGGCCATCTTGGTGCTGTCTGGGGCTCCCACGGGGCTCGCTTGAGTTCCTCTTTGGCCCTCTTGGGACCCTCTTGGCTTGTCTTGGGGCCCTCTTGGGCTGTCTTGGTGCCGTTTTGGGCCCTCTCGGATGGTGGGAGAGTCTCTCGGGGCTGTCTTGGGAGTCTCTTGGGGCCTGGGGCCCTCTTGGGCTGTCCTGGGCCCCTCTTGGGCTGTCTTGGGTTCCTCTTGGAGCTGTCCTGTGCCGTCTTGGGGGCCTCGCTGGGCTCTCTTGGTCTCTCGTTGGCTCTGCCGATGTGCTCTTGGAACCCTCTTGAGGCGAGAGGCCCAGGAAGTGCAGCCTGTTCGACTCCGTGTGCCAACACGTAGGTAGATCCCCCTTAACCTCAAGTCTGGCATGTCCCTCTACAGGAGGAATATTCAAAAAGAGTCAAACCATAGTCTAGGGACGATTTTTCTATTAGTTGTTTGACTATTTTGGGGCACTGTTTGATCATTTTTGATTGGTCCTCCAAAGCCCGCCTGTAGGAGGACATGCCCGACCTAAACGTATGCGCATCCTCCTTAACCGCCCGACGTCTGTTGCCATTTTGGCTCAGGCGCTCGACCGTTTCTGAACAACTGCTGGGCGCACAGAGGCTGGCCCTTGGGCCGTGCGCCCTCGAGCCCAACGGCGCCCTCTGTGCACATCGCGCTGCGAGGACCCCGCGTGGCGGCGGGCGAGGGGTACGAGCAGAGATGGCTGCGGGCACCGCCGACAGCGGGGCCCCGCTTGCAGCGGCCTTGCAGTCGAGGCATGGTTTGCTGGGCCCCCGGCTCAGGGCCGCAGCGGGTACCAGCGGCCCCCCGCGCGCATGGCGCGTCGCAGTGCGGCGATACCTCCTACAGTCAGGCTTCGCAGGGGAAAGGAGCGGCAGCACCGTCAACGGTGGCGCCGAGAGCTTCGTCGACAGCCTCACAGACCACGGCGGTCGAGAGCTTCGCCGACAGCTGCGCCGAGAGCTTCCCCGAAAGCTGCGTCGAGGCTTCACCGGCGGCGTCGCCGACAGCTTCGCCGACAGTTCCGCCTACGGCTTCGCCGACAGCTCCGCCGAATGTTTCGCCGACGGCTTCGCCGACAGATGCGCCGGAGAGCTCCGCGGAATGATTCACCGACAGCCGCGCCGACGGTTTCGTCACACGCAGCCGCGTTGACAGCTTTGATGACAGTTTCGCCAGCGGTCTCGCTGGCAGCTCCGCCGACAGCTGCGTCGACGGCGTTGCGGACAGCTTCGCGAAGGGCCTCGCCGACGGCCTCGCCGACAGCTTCGCGGACCGCGGCGCCAGCGACCCCGCGGACAGCCTCGCTGGGAGCGACGTCGACACCATCGCCACATCGCGAACATGGCGACGGTTGCAGCCTCCCGGTGGAGAGGCGAGGGCTCAGGGAGCCCGTTGGGCTTTGCGAGCTCTGGCGGGTTCGACGCGACAGACCAGCAGGAGGCAGCCCCCTATCCAGGCGACCGCCCGCAGTGCAGGAGGCGAACAGGGGCCCTGTGTGCGCGTGGCATGGGCGCGGCTCCCTACTCGTCGCGGGGGCCTGCGCCAGGCCCGACTCTTGGGGGGGCCTCGCATTGCAAAGAAAACCCCCTTCGTGCTCCCCCTTCGGTCTTGTGGGCCCCCGCGCGAGGCAGCTCGGCGGCCTCCAGACTCCCGGGTTCGGCTCCGGGGGAGTTGGGGCGTCGGCCGCCCTCGCGAGGTGATTCTGGCTGGGCCCAATCGCGCGCCCACTTGTGTAGTCTTGGGCCCCCGTTCCCCGGTGGGCACCCGCGCGGCGAAGGCGCCCTCCCCATCCTGGGCCCCTCTTCCGCCGCGGGCAGGGGCGGGCGCTCGGGAAGGAGCGGGGGGGTCTCCGCGCGGTGGGCCTTCGGGGCGGGAAGGGCTTCGGGGCCGCGCGGCGCTCTCGCGCCTGCCCCCCCCCCCCCCCCCTTCACCTGCGCGTTCAGGCGGGGTGGGTCCTCGCTGGGCTTGAGCTATTGCGGCGCTGACCTCGCTTGGTCTGTCTGGACCGCGGCCGCGCCTGGCCACTGGGGCCCACCGCGACATGCCTCGCAGGCTGTCCGTGGCGGGCCTCGCAGGCCGTCGCCGTCGAGGCCCGGCGTGACTTCGCCGCAGCTTCGCCGACAGCTGGACCAACGGCTTCGCCTGCGGCCTCGCCGGCGTCGAGAGCTTCGCCGCGGGGTGGTGCGACGGCCTCGTCGACAACTTCGCCGACGCTTCGACGCAGCCCCGTTGGCAGATTCGCCGGAAGCCCGGCTGGGCGATCCGCCGCGCCAGCAGCCCCGTGGACAGTTTCGCCGGCAGAGTATGACGCTGACGGCGTCGCGGGCAGCTCGGTCGACGGCGGCGCCGGCGGCCGGGCGGGCCGCGGAGCCGACGGCTATGTCGACAGCTGCGCAGACGACGGCGCCAACAGCTTCGTCAACGGCTGGGCCGACAGCTTCATCGACGACTTCTCTAGGGGCCGCGTCAACTGCTGCGTTCGGTCTGGGAGAGTACGACGTGGTCTGCCAGAGGTGCCCGCGCCGCGTCGCGAACCAGACGGCGGTTGCAGCCTCCGAGAGCGCTGGCGGCGGCTCGGGGGGCCCGCAAGTTCCGCGAGCTCCAGAGGATCCGACGAGATGGGCGAGCAGGAGGCGGCTCGCTGAGGGGGGCGTCAGCAGCGGCGGGGCCTCCCCCGACCCTTCGGGGCGGGGTTCCGCGCCGGCGCGCTGGCGGGAGAGTGGCCACCGCGCGGCCCGGGGCGCGACGAGGGCAGGCGGCTGCCCGCGACCCGCTCCGGGCTCGGCACGAGGGCGGGCTTCTGGGCCGCGCAGCACGTCCGTGCCTTGCTTGGTCGGCCAACTGGATTCCTCGCGCGATCCAGAACCATGTTTGCTATGCCCAGCGTGGCGCCGACCTCGCTCTGTCAGGGCCGAGGCCGCGCTGGGTCTCCGGGGGCCCGCCGCGGCAGGCAGCGGCGGCGACGCCGTGCAGCGGTGCCGACGCTGAGCGCCGTCGCTGAACAGACGCTGAGCAGCGGCTCTGACGCGGTGCAGCCCGCGCAGAGCGACGGCGCCGACGCTGGGAAGCAGCGCCAGCGATGCGCAAACAGCACCGACGTTGCGCATCAGCTCCGACGCTGAGCAGCAGCGCCACCGAAGAGCAGCACCCGCTCCGAGCGGCAGCGCCGACGCAGTGCGACAGCACCGACTCTGGGTGGCAGCGCCGCAGCGCCGACGCAGTGCTGCTGTGCCGGCATTACGGTGATCAGCATCTCAGGCGCACCTGCGCAACCAGCGCGTGCAGCCACGCAGACAGCAGAGCCGCGCGCGGCATCGGCGCGCGCGCAACCCGCCGCGCCGCTTCGACCCGCGGCGCCGCGGCTAGGTCCAGGGGCCGCCTGTAGCGCATCCCCGAGCGCGTGTCCAGGGGTCGGAGGGGGCGCGCTGGGTTCGCGACCAGTGACGCCGTTGGCGGCTCCTCGGCGCCGCCTGCGGCGCCCAGTGCTTCGCCGACTGCGCCAGCGGGGCCGACTGCGGCATCGGCGGCAGTGCCGGCCAGCGCCGTGCGCGGCTGCGCTGGCACCTCCGCTTGCGCGACAGTGGCCAGAGAGCCGTGCGCGGCAGCGCCGGCGCATCCGGCCGCGCCACAATGGCCGTGTGGCCGCTATCTCCGACGGCTAGCCCAGCGGTGGCTCCGTGAGGGCGGGGCCCCATCTGCCGAAGGCTCGGCTGCGAGGGCTGCCCGAGTCAGGCGATCGCAGACGTGGATCAGGGGGGCGTGGCTTGGCGTCGGGTCCCGTCTCCATGGGGGGCCGCGGATTTCCGTCGCCGAACGAGGCGGACCTGGCTGCGTTTTGGGGGGGGCGCCTCCCCCGATCCATGGATTCGGCGACCGCGCGCCCAATCCAATGCTTGCCAAACCGTGTTTGCTCGCCCCCGACCCAGACTCGGCCAGGAGGCGGCGGCCAGCTGCCCCGCGCGAAGCGGCGCCGGCATGATCTGCAGCGCGATGACGACTGGCAGTGTCGCGACAGCGCTGGCAGCGGCGCGGCCGGCAGCCTGGCCAGCAGTGGCCACGGTGACCAGCAGCGCCGAGCCATGCAGAGGCTCCGGCGCGGCGCAGCCCCGCTCCGGGCTCGGCGCGAGGGCGGGCTTCTGGGCCGCGCAGCACGTCCGTGTCTTGCTTGGTCGGCCAGCTGGATTCCTCGTGCGATCCGGAACCGTGATTGCTATGCCCAGCGCGGCGCCGACCTCGCTCTGTCAGTGCCAAGGCCGTGCCGGGTCTCTGGGGGCCCGCCGCGGCAGGCGGCGGCGGCGACGCCGTGCAGCGGTGCCGACGCTGAGCACCGACGCTGAACAGACGCTGAACAGCGGCCCTGACGCGGTGCAGCCCGCGCAGAGCGACGGCGCCGACGCTGGGAAGCAGCGCCAGCGATGCGCAAACAGCACCGACGTTGCGCATCAGCTCCGACGCTGAGCAGCAGCGCCACCGAAGAGCAGCACCCGCTCTGAGCGGCAGTACCGACGCAGTG